GGCTTCTTCCCTGTATAAAAGAGATTGTACTAAGAGTCTGCTGTGAGATCAGTTTGAGGTTATATTTTTTTCCTAGGCGGAAGTGTATTTGTAAGAAAGAATCGACAGAAACAAAAGCCCACCCCAGAAATGTAGCTTTAGATCCTATTTCAAGTGACAAATTTACATGCAGACCTCCACAGTAATAGTAGTCTCATCTCAACCAAAAGAAGTGCATTCCATAGTTGATGGAAACAAAATTTATACATTTTGATAGCTACAAATTTGTTGTCTAAGATCAGAGAGTGGAACTTCGATTTAGAAGATACTTATACTATATTGAGTCTGGAATCAATATAAAGATGATTGAGGGCTACAATATTTATATGCCAAGTAATTTAGGATACTGATTGATCAAAATTTGAGCAGCTAGGTTTGATCTGTAGACCAGAAAATTGCCAACATTGAGCTCTTTATGTCTTTTATATCTTTATGTCTCTTTCACTGAATTATTCTAGTAATGTTGATAAATTAGAACTAATTGGCCAAATTTTAAAACTGAAAACGCTAATGTATTTTCTGCTTGTGTGTCGCATATCATAGAGCCTTGGTGGTGCAGTGGTTAGAGTGCAGTACTGCAAACTACTTCTGCTGAAAGCCAGCTGCCTGCAATTTGGCAGATTGAATTCCACCAAGCTCAAGGTTGACTCAGCCTTCCATCTTTCTGAGGTGAGTAAAATGAGGACCCAGATTGTTGGGGGCAAATGCTGATTCTGTAAACTGCTTAGAGAGGGCTGTAAAGCACTATAAAGTAGTATGTAAATCTAAGTGCTATTGCTATATCTGACTGCTATATTGCTTGAACAATCAGAGACCTGGAAGAAGGATGTTCTTGTTTAGGACAACCATTATCTAGTCTGCAGTTTTATATATATAGATGATCAATAAATGACAGAAAAAGCTAGTTCTCTTAATATTTTTGCTACCATCTAATAGGGTTTTTTTTCCAGTCCAGATATGGTATTAGAAACATATGCTTTAGAAACAGTTATCAGTGTTCATTTTAAAATACAATTAAATGAGGAATATATAAAAAGCAATTCAAAGTAATAAACAGTTTGCATGGCCTACTCCTCACTTACTTTATTTTCTGTGATAAATTCCATTTTCTGATGCCTTTTTTTTTTTTTTGCAAAAATACATTTACATGAGCAGAATATATTCATTAGCTATAGTATGCTCAAACAATATTTAACACTGAAAACATTCAGTTATTAGGAAGACTATCCCATCATCTAAGGAACTATGTTTAACTCTGGCAGAATATGCAAATCTGAGAAAAAACCCCGACATATTTATTTTGTAGAAAAATACTTTTATTTGTGCAATATATGTGCAATTAGACAAATACACAGAGACAGGAAAATAAGTAACAAGGTAGATATGCAGCTATACAATGCAATTGGGCAATTGGTCATTGTCTGTAATATTTTAGAGAAGCTGTAAAGAGTCATTAGCAACATGTACTTTTGTTTAGTTATTTATATTACATTTTTAAAACTTACCAATAAAAATATCAACAGTGAAAAATATATATTTGTAGATATTGTACAGTGAAATATATATGTATATATATAGGGTGTCTGTCTGTGTATGCATGTATGTATGTATGTATGCTTATATGTGTGTTCATGTGTGTTAAAGAAAATTAATCGAAAAAATGATCCAAATCATTTATATAAATAACAATATAAATACAAATAATGAAAAGTCTATTCAATCTTTAAATCTTTTAAAGAGTATCATTAGCAACATATTGCATTATCTTTTGTTTTTAGGACACACAAACTTTTCAAAAATAAATAACAGATTCACATCCTGGAGCCATTCCTCAAAATCAAGAGGGTAACTTTGTTCCTAATTATATAGACTTAGCCTTTTTCCTGTGCCATAGGCTCGCAAATCTCTTTATGAGGTGACAATTTTCAACTTTTGGAAACATTTCAACATCACATGAAAATCCTTAATTGTAATATTTCTTTCCCAACTTGTACTGAAATTGTAGTATAATGAGCTTATCAACATCATAACATATAGATTAAAAGAATCACATTTTTTATAACACCAGCATAAAAAATACATAATGTCAACATCTAGTTCAAGGGTTTTCCCCAGTTTTATAGATTGCAGTTGCTCTTAATTTCTTGTAATTGTCAGTCAATTTATGTTTTTTTCCCCCTTTCTTTTTTGATAAATCTCTTTATTTTGCTATTTCCCAGAAAAGCGATCATTTGCTGTTCAGTTATAGGAGCACCTCCTTAACTTTTCTGAGAATAGCAATAATAAAACTATGAGCTGTCTTGTTAAGCAACTATTTTTCATTGGCCTGAATTCCAAATATAAAAATTTGCATCTTTCTCTCCTGATTTGTGATTAATGCATTTCATAGCCTTTCCAATGGTTTGCGCGTAGAAGTCCAAGTTTCACTGTTGCTAATATTAATGTTAATAAGATTTGGGGGGGGGGCGGTTCTAGCAAATAACAAAATTTCACCTCTCATAAATTGGTTGGCATATTTGGCAGTTGAAGTCTAAAATAACTGAGGGCATTTTGTTATAATTTTGCCATTACTATTTAATTTGAAAAGTAACATAAATTGCTTGTGATCTGCTTTCAGGTATAAAGTATTGAAATCAAAATACTATGAATGTGTTCAGCTAGTTTGTAAGTATCTTTCACTAGACATACATGCTACCTAAGAGCTGCAATATGATTTGGTACTAAATATTATTTTAATTTGTTAAGGTTTATTTACTTAATATGTTAAGGTTTATATAGCAGGAAAAAGAATGACTTATTATCACTTATAAGACCCCTCTGAAGCCAAGAGGTAAACCATAGTTTTTGTACTTTCTTGTGTTCTATATACTTGCATCTCAACTAGTAACTCTGGCATCTCAGCTTTTCTTGACACCTATCAGAAATATGTCCACTTTAGACAACAATGCAGTTCTTGTTGTTTTTGAAGAGTACAACCTTTTCAGACTCCAAAATTGAATTTTTGAAGAATGGAATTGCATAATTTAGAGCAGAAATATGAGCTCAAAACAAAATAAAATGAGAGCCGAATAAAATACAACAGAACTGAAACAATATATCCTAAAACTAATACAAAACTTGAGTATAGAAGACAATACAAATTTTAAAAATTGTATATATAATTTGCAGAAATGGCAAACAAACTAGTCTGGTCATAGGGAAAAAGCAACATTTTTCTGAAAGAAGAAAAAATGAGATGAAGATTTACAGGTTTGAAGGTTAATAAAGATGTAGATTAAATGAAGGGCAGAAGGAATTTAGATAATATCTGACAGGAAGGAAGGAATACTCAATTATAATTATCTGTTGAAAATAAGGTAGCAAATCAGAACATTTCTTCTATTAAATGTTTTTTCCTTCTCTTTGTTTCTTGTATGTCTTTCCTTCTATCACTTTTAAAATTTTGACTTGATCTTTATTTTTTGAAAAACTTCTAATAAAAGTAAATAAAAATGTGGATATGCATTTGAAATTTGAAATATTTTTAATAATTGATATTGGTAGTAGTTTAATTTTTGAAAGAAAAGACAAGATACAGAAAATGGTTGATTCCAATTTGAATGGGATGGGGATTCTAAATTGATTAACTCCCTATTCCTTATTGTACAATTATTGCAATAATATGAAAAAGACAGGAAAAAGCAATGTCAGGAAAAGGGCAGAGATAATGTCTGTCTCTTTTGTCTTGGCAGTGATGATGTCAGGAAAAAGACAGAGATAAGAATGTCTCTTTTGTCTTGACAGTGATGAGACAGTTGCCTAAAACCAGCTTTTTAAAAAGTGCTATTAAAGTGACAGATTATATGTTATTTGTAGCAATTTCTTATCCAATTCAGCCACAGAAAGAATAGTCCATATTCTATTTGTGTGTGTGTGCTTGCTACGTATAAATCTCTTCCCAGACTTTTGTGGAATTTAAATTTAAGGACATAGTTTGGAAATGTAATGGTCTGCTAGTGAGTCTAAGACCTGCAAAAGAATATCTTCTTAAACTGAGGATACCAAAGGTAGAACCTTGAGCATTGGAACAACATTATGTCTTTGATAGTATTCCATTCCAAAAGTCATTGAGAAATTCTTTATTCAAGGATTTAATTTAATTCCTCTAGATAGAATTAGATAGATAGACAATATGAGGCAACATATTTACCATTTATTTGCCAGTAACAAAATTTAACAAAATAATTATCTGGAACCTGACAGTTCTTTAAAAAAAATTGTATCATAAACTGTGCTCTAATAGAGATTGACAGATTTGAGTTTTAGATGTGTGGCAAGAGAGCCCCATGGAATTTCTCTTGGCATATTCTGGACAATTTCCAGTTGCACAAATACATTCTAATTCCATTCCAAAAACTCCTTCCAATACAGAAGCTGTGGAATTTTATTTCCCTGGAATATTTTGATTGCAGGAGCAATTTAACTCCTGATCTCCACTAAAATAGAAAAAACTTTAGAATATACCCAATGACTTAAAACTGGATTCAAGTTTACCTTCCAAATTAATGACTTCTAGAAAGGGACACACAAATACTGTATTTAAGGAACAGGCAATGCTGGATATTAATTAACTGACAATGTATGTTTGGTTCTGCTGTGATTAAAAACCATAACTGTGGCTTGCTTGTAGTTAATCCTCAGCTTTTTCCTCTCATAATAATCAGCCAGTCTAGCCCACAATTTTCTAAGTCTAATCTCAACATATATCATGATATAAACACATATATTATCAACCTATATTAAATTGAGTGCTCTGTACCTATTAAGCAAGGAGACAAAGTGATTTTCATTCCATGGCTAAAACATTATAACTGATATGCAAATTAAATGTGATGGGAGCAAATATATAGACCCGTTTGACTGATCCATTTATTAAAATAGGGTTAGATAAGGATCCCCAGTTGGCTAACTCATATCCTCGTAGTATGGTAAGAAAGCAATTCAATCAATACCCTGATGTGTCTAATATTTGTAATGTTTATTTTCTCAAGCTATTCCCATAGTTTACACCTAAGTCTGATTTCCTCTGGAGTTTAAAAACAGCAGACTCAGTTGTCAATAAATAATTCCACTTTAATGGCAAAGTAATAATTTAGACAGATACAGTGTGCACACCTGCAAAAAATATATGCAAGCTGGTTTACAAGCTAGAAGAACAATAAATCAATATAAAATACATCATCCAGTTAAGTCTGATGACACCAAATACTTATTATTAGGGCTTTACAAAGACTACAAAACTTTTCAGATGATTTATCTCACTGTTTCTGTCTATTTACACAATATGTTACATTAAAAATGTACAAAATATAAAATGTTTACAGACAAATGCTTCACAAACAAATTTGTTAAAGTTGTAAACTAGGTGGATTCACTGAAATGTATTGCAGGGAAAATTGTATTATGTAGTATATACATACAGGATGTGTGTATGTGTATTGAAAATGGCAGGAGTTCCTGGGCTTAGATGTTGTTTAAGACTACATCAATCTTAAGGAGCAGCTTTTGTTTTAGTCATTTTCCAGAGTGGCATGCTGCTTAACAGTATGAGACAGTCAGCTAATATTTGCTTCTGGAAATCAATCTGAGTATATTTTTTGTGCATAAAAGCAGACTTTCTTATTAGGACAATAGCACCATGCAGGAAACCTGCGGCTGATGCAACAAGGAAAATTGCATTGATTTTTTTGATATTTGTTTTGCAAAATATATTGTTGCAGGAATTAGTAGCACCACTTACGCGTCCTGAAGTTATCCATTAGCTATGTGTATCCTGAAAGTATTTCATTGGTACATGTCCTATGCTTATTAGTAGACGTGCTCCACATGAACCCCTTCAAGATAAGGGTTGAAGTATGTGCCTATAGAAATGCTATAGCCCTTAGATATTTTATGTTAATTTTAACCAATATCTCCAATTACTCTGATTGGGTTTTCGGTATATTCCGCCATCTATTTTTTTTGCCTACAAAGTTAGATTGGTTTAAAGAATACAGATGTTCATTGTAGCAAGGATAGCTCAGGACTTGTGATGGCAGTTCTAAATACAAGACAAACATATCTGGTTTTATCTGTCTTTTTAAAAAACAGATAGTACTAATTGCCCTCTTGCTTTGTTTACAACGTATGGGTATTCTCTGTAAATGAAATATTTCTTCACATTAATAGAATAAAGTATAATTTTGTATTTTTGCTGCTGTTACTGTTTTGTTTGCTTTCATTTGTGCAACACTTTTTTATTTTCAGTATTTACAATACCCTCCCAATAAACTGTGCAAAATCACCCCCCACTTTTCCCTCTTACAGTAAAAACATTTTGTCTTGCACAGTGAATAGCACTGTGTCGGTGTTTTTTTAATGCTGACTTTCTTCATTTACAACAATTGCAATTAAAATAGCATGCTCCAAATGGGGGAAGGAAGAGAAGGGACAAAAACCAAGAACGATTTGTGCTCATGCTAACTCAGGTGCACACCCAGCTCTGCTGGATAAAGTGTCACACATCCCTGTTTCTGTCATAATTAAGTTTTTTTCCCAATGGGATAGAAATAACTATGTTGGACTTTTTTGTTTTGTTTTCATTCATAGTTAACTAGGAGTAGTTTCTGGGTCATCTGAATGGTTTAGGATGGTAGGTCATTGATTCACGGAAGATTAAAAATAATATATCTATATCTATATTAATAATTCATCCTTCTAGCCACCTAATTAAAAAAAATCTTGATATATAAACACAAGGCTACTGTGTTCACTGATGCTCTCTCATTAGTAAAATGAAGAAAGGAAACAGTATAAATAACCAATGGTTTAAACAAATTAAACCAAGTGTAACATTGTCTAGAAATTGGTTTTAAGGCAGTGAGACAGCACCATAGGAAATGATCTCTTTTTTCCCCACCCAAAAGACTCAAAACAAAGTCCTAACCAAAACCTTTAGTCAGCATCAGAATTGCCTAACAACAACAGCAACAACCTTAAGAGGTGGGCAGGTGTTTAAAAAATACCACTGTGGTTAAAAACAATTTGGATATCAAAACGGGTGACTTTTTTTCAATACACACACACACACACACACACACAAGCACACATGCACAAACAGAAAACTTAGTGAACCACATCACTGCAAATATGGCAGTTTAGTATCAAATTGGCACTTATCCAGCATATCACAGTATTGTTTGTATAAGATAATTGCACAATACTGTTTTGTGCTTATTGAGTCTATACGCCCTCTCATTCTTTTTATTTTATTTTGTGTCCATCTCATTTTGGAAAGGACAGCAGAATATAATCTGGAATATGTGCTGTGAGGCACCACAAAGGTTAGAGGAGGAGGAGGAGGAGGAGGAGGAGCAAGAGAACTATGAATGCAGCACCTCCAAGTATATTGAAGTATCACATAAAATGCTTCCACTGTAAACTTTCAAGACAGGGATAGAAAATAAAAGACTCTAAGTGGATTCCAGTTTGATTACTATGTGTGCAATCTGCTTCATAGCATCCCTGTTAAAGGCTCTTTCCTCTTGAAACTGAACAAATCCAACTTTCATTTCTGATTTGCTTTAGTGCTTAAATCAGGTGCCTCTATATATGACACAGCACACACATAATATTTCAGCCCAAATACACACCACCTCAGTAGCCCTTAACATGGGTATAGGTTTATCAGCATCTTCTAACCAAAGTCATGCCCCCTTTAAAGCGTTGATTCAAGTGAAGGATCCAGCATATCATCATGGTGGCTGGCAGTATCACTGTCACAGCTCTGGGCACTTGAGTAAGTGGCAGCTTCTTTGAGCCTCAATAGCATGTTCATCTGAGAAAGAAATATAGTACAACTGTGTTATTGGTACAGGAGTTAAGATGATTTAGAATAATAACAATCCAGTCCATTTTACTGTTCTTAGTCAGTCCTTAGTTAGAGCCAGTTTTAGAAAACATTTATGGAAAATGTTACATAGCTTTATATATGAGCTTTCTCAACCCTTTGAATATTTGGTTCTGATTATCCACTGTTATGAGAATTAAACTCTTTTACAGCTCATCGTGCACATTCTTGAATACATGTTTCACAAATCTTTTGGTGCTATTTTGCATGGAGGCAAAGAGATGCTACTAGGTTCCACCCAGTATTGGCCTCCATGCTATGTTAGCCTTTGTGGGTGTTTTAAGAAACATATTACTTCCACATCATAAGGATGAGGAGACATAATACCAAAGTACCTGTTGAATTATGTTTAAGTCTTAAAAAAGCACAGAAACAATTAAATAGAGGGGAGAAACAAAAGGTAAGACCTTCAAAGTATAAAGGAGAATGGATTATTTAAACCAGGATTCATTTTTCTAGTCAAGGTTAAGAAAACAAACAAACAGGCTTTTTTTTTCTTTTTTCTTTTGCATGATAGGAGGAGAAAAAGAAGCCTGATGTGTTTTGCATGCATATTGAATGGAATGGGTGAAAGTTCAATGGCTGAATGCAATAGCACCATCTGCTGTCCAGGAGCTGACCTTCACAAAACAATATTATTGTATTACTGCTGTGAGGCTGGATTCCAGACTAACCTTAAGCTCCTCTTATTTAACTTCAAGAGCCCTGAAAATCTCTAAGATGTTTAGATACTGAAATTATCATAATTAAATGTGGTATTTATGAAGCTTTTCTCTTATTGGTGTTCAGGAAATGGGTTTTGTTGGCGGCATTTTAAAATAACCAAATTTTACAATGGAAATCTAGTTTCTCTGATCCAAAATACGTAAAATAAAAAATAAAAAAGGAAAATCAGAATAAATCATGTTATTACACTTTTTTCATATTTAACTAACCCTTTAAAAATAAAGGTAGTTTTATTAGTGTCATATAGGCATTTAGCCTCATTTCATTAGGTTGAAAATAGTTGCTTGAAGCAGCCTTGCTTACGATAGCAGCAAAAATGTATGGAGAAGCTTGTACACAGATTTGCTCAATGCATCTTAGTAGGGACAGAGAGAAGAAAAATTCAGTCAAAATTAAGCAATTTCCTATGGGGAAAGACTATAGCAATTGGAGCTTAGACTGAAAGGAAAGAGGTATGGACAGACATGGTGGAGGGATATTAGATCATGAATGGCATAGACAACATAGTAAAATATTTTCTATGTCTTCTTGACAGTATTAGAAGTTTAGTTTACCAACTGAAAGTAAATGCAGGAAGATTCAGATTTTTTATAGCACATAGTTAAAGTTGGTGACATTAGCAATAACATTACAACAGCTTTTAAAAGATACTGTTGAGATTTATGAAAGGTCAAACTAGTAGCTGCTAGTCATGCTAGGTAGCTGTCTACAAGATGTTGAACCATAGATAGATTTAGATATTCGTCTTGGTCATGGAAAGCAGCTCATCCTCCAATCGAGACTTCTGGGCACCCCATATATATCCTGTTGGCCACAAAATTGTTTTATGGCTTGATGCAGCATGGACCTTTTTAGTATCTGTTGGAGGAAGGGCTTCAACCTGAAAACCTATCTCTTTACTCTGTAGGTTTGCTGTTTTCTGAATATTTTCCTAGATAAATCTTCTTTATATCTGTCATTCAATGCACAGATCTCTAATATTCTTCTGTTTTTTGCTTGTGTCTCTTAACACTCCTAATATGTGAGCCCTCTCTCTCATTCATAGCTATTCACCTTTGTCAGTGAAAGTAATGAGTTATCAGGGATACCATTAAGGTAAATGAATGCTGAGACATTTATGATCCCAACAAAATATTATCTTTCTTGCTCAGTATGAAGTGTGATTGACAGTTAAGAGCGGGTCAGAATTTAGGACTGGCATATAAATACTCAAATATTCTGAGATGATAAATTCTTAATCTAATTCATACATTGATTTATTGTATATATTCAGTGAATTAATGCAAAGCTAAGGAGGGTCTTAAATTTAATACTATGGGGATTATATGTTAAATAATTTTTTCACAGTAGTATAAGAATACATGCAAACTAGTACCAATTTATCTGAGCAGCCAAAGCAGCAAGTAAAATAAATGTAACCAACCAGATATTCAGCTGTTGCATCAGAATTAAAAAGCATCATTGGATAAAGCATATTTAAAAAAACAAAAAGCATTATTTTATTTTACCAACGGATCTCCTTCTGATTCCATCTGTGGAATGTGCTTTGAAGTGGTTCCTTCTTTGGCAGATGCATAACCTTCATAACCAACATCTTCAGGTCTTAACTGAAGTAATGATGACCAATCATGTTGCAATGAACTCCATGGACAAGTCTCTACTATCCACTTTGAGGGGTCTTCCCAAGGTGCACGTTTACCATACATCTAAATATATATCCCAAAAGACAAGTAAAAATGTCTACACTTATTTTATTAAAAGACATTTTAGAATGGCCATGATGACCAAGTTATTAGAAAGTATTCACCCTGAATGCCCCACCATGCTACAAAATAAGCTATGATTAACAAATAATCTGTTCAGTTTATAAGAACATCTGGTCAAAAAATTGGATTTATATAACTTATAGTGATACCAAGAAATAATTATGACACATATGTTTTTGGTGTCTGCTTCATAGTTATGTTTTTGGTGTCTGTTTCATAGATTCTTAGCCATTATAACTTGTTTACCCCCCCTCCTCCAGTTTATATATTCCATTTGACAATATATAACAAGGTTATACTAAAATTGGTTTACTACCTCAATGAATAGCAACATTCAAGTGAGATATTTCTATTAATGAATTGCAAAATTCTACAAATGAGAATTTTAAATATATCATCAGAATATGTTTGCATTCCTTTGGAGATTTTTTTTTTTTGATCCAAGGAAATTATTTATAGGCACAGTGATGTTCATGGTTGAAATGATTAGGGCACAGGTTGTAGGAAGATTTAAAAATTAGATTAAGCTTCCCATTCATGGCAAATGATTGTTTCTGTAAATCAACTCTTAGAAACAATAATGAAATTCACTGCCCCAAGGACTCAGATTGCTGGTTGGTTAGGAGTCCTACCTGAAGTCCTTCTCTCACCGCTTCCATTATATATGGCACCAACGAATAATTCCAGAGATCAGTAAACCACACTCTAGAACCATCAATATCAATAGGACAAGGTAGAAAGAGGCGAGGACCTAAAATAAGAAGTTTTTTTTTAAAAAAATGAGATTACATTTAGTGATGTAAGTAGTTTTTTGCTCCCTTTATATGAGAGAGACATAAATGTAGAGAGACATAATGCTATCTCTGTACATTATGTCTCCTTCGTATGAAAAAATTGGGTGTCATAAAAGATAAGGGCACATCTAATTCAAGTTGTTTTATTGTCAGATAGATACAACAGATATACTGTTTGTATCAGTGGTGGGATACATATTTTTACTACCGGTTCTGTGGGCATGGCTTGGTGGGTGTGGCAGGGGAAGGATACTGTAAAATCTCCAGTCAGAGGTGGTATTTGCTGTTTCTCCAAACTACTCAAAATTTCCGCTACTGGTTCTCCAGAATTGGTCAGAACCTGCTGAATACCATCTCTGGTTTGTATGCTATTCACTGCATATTAGTGATGGCAGCCATTTTTTTCACAAAGTACAATGACATTTTTTTGCATTAGCCTTTTCAGCCACATGATTAAAAAAATACATTTATAACATCTGGCATTTTATGAATGCTGAGACACAGAAATATTGGTAATGTATTTCTAAAGACCAATTATTTCATTGGTTCCAGATGCCCTTTGTTTAAATGGCAGAAATAATTCCGAAGACATTTCATCTGTAAACAAGGTGACTGTTTCTTAGATACACTAAACCCCAGCTCTCTGCCTTACTTGTCAACGTTATAGCAACTGCCAGCTGTTATGTGGCAACTGTCAAAACAGGTTGTGCCACTTAGGGAAATTTATAGAAAAAAATCAATTAAAAGAAATATTTTTGAAACATAAAATTATCTGAAAGATTCTTTAATCTGTTCTTCAGGGAGGAACAGATTTTGTGTGTGTGTGTGTGTGTGTGTGTGTGTGTTTGTGTGTGTAAACATGCAAATGGAGTTTCCACTGCACTTAGGGCACTATTTATCACATGATTACTTAACAGATTTGTCATGACAGAGAGGGCTTTTGAGTAATACCTGATCTTGGATTTCTTGAGAGATTTGAAAGCATTTTAGGCCTTTCTGCCTTCTCTGCTTCTTATTACTGCTGCTTGCTGATCCAATTCGATGCCACATTAAAATGTACATTATTAATGGCATCAAGAAGTATGAAAATCCAGAATTAAAATAAAAACTGTGATGGAATATGTTCTTCAAGAACATGCATTTTATTTTATTTTTTTAATTTTTAAATATTCTTGTTTTGTTCTGAATTTTCTCTTCACATTAGTTAGAATTAAGTCTTTTGACAGTGGAATGGGATAAGAAAGTGTAAGTTCAAGGCTAAGGTAGACTAAGATTAATAACAATAAACGGCTTTGGGTTCTTCATTAAGTACAAATTTCATTCCAGAAACCCAATTCATATCCAATAATACCATGTTTGCAAGCACAACTCTATTTTTTTTTACTTTGGGCATAAAAGATAACCTACTAGTTATTTTGCCGAACACACTCACAGTATGATACAGTGGTGGAATTCATTTTTTTTTTACTACCGGTCCTGTGGTTGTGGCTTGGTGGGCGTGACAGGGGAAGGATACTGTAAAATCTCCAGTCAGAGGTAGTATTTGGCAGTTCTCTGAACTACTCAAAATTTCCTCTACCAGTTCTCCAGAACTGATCAGAACCTGCTGAATAGCACCTCTGGTATGATAGTTTCAAAGGTTAGTTTTAACTCTTAATTTTCATTCTTAACTGTAAAAGATCTTACCAATCGTTATATCAGAAGAACTGTGTGTTTCTAAGAAGCTGTTGAGATGATGCCATATCTTGGGAATCCAGTCAATAATTTTGATAAGATCATTATTGCGGATATTCTTCTCCAGCTCTGTTTCAATCAGTTTCCTTCTCAAATATCTGGATAACAGCCCTTTAACAGGCTCTGTGTGATTAGCACACAGCACCCATCTATACACAAAACAATAAAATAATGGAATCTAAATGTAAAGATTGAGGTCATCCAATGAAATCTTATTGACCCAAACCAAAATGTGCTTTTAAAAACCTATTGTTAACCTACAGCAACTGTTTCCATGAGTTGATGTGATAGCCACCATCATAAATTGCTAAAAATGAAAGATTTGATCACCGTATTTAAGATATAGCTTTTAATCTTTTTTAAGGCCAAAGAGAATCTTCTTTGTTCACAGACCATCTCTCTCAGTGCCTGAAGTTAGCAATTAAACACTGAAGATGGATAATGACTGTATGTCCTGTTTGTGAACTTGCCTTTGGCATTTGGCTAGCTGTTATCAGTAAATAGATTTTGAGCTAGATTATTGTTCTGTCACTGGATTACATTTATATCTCTAGCTAATAATATATTGTTTCTTTTCAACTGTATGTCTTGAGGTCAATGATGAAGAAAATTGCTATTAGAACTTAATATATTTAGTCTTTTCTGCTATTTTGTGACAAAAGCAAAATGGCACATTCAATTTGTAATGGTGACAGAAACAATCCTAAAAACAGCGATGTTATATTTTCATTCCATTTGACTCATTAAAAAAATTGAAAGACTTTTATATGCTTTCTGATTTTATATAACCAAATGTGCAACAATTATGAATTTACTAAAACTTAGCCTAAAAGTTCTGAATTTGAGTCATATATACATTTTAAACAGAAATAATTTTTACCTGAAATTTTGATGAAGTTCTAGATTAGGTGATGATGAAACTCCCTGGTTCATTGTTCCAATAATATAGGGACTTAAAACAAACAAATATGGATTTAAAAAACTATCTAGGAAAATTGAATAAGAACAAAATATTAACAAAAAAACATAAAATCAGCATTAAAATCAGCAAGGATGATCACCAAAAAAAAAAAAAAAGCAAAAAAAAGAGAAAACATTACTCCCTTAATCTCTGAATATATCAAAGGGAAAGCTTATGAAGTAATCATAATGCCAAAGTAAACTGGCATTTAAGAAAACTCATTTTAACATTGTTTTAATATAAAATAATGTATATTTATATTTCAGAAAAGCCCTTTTGAGAGCACTTATGCTAGGTCTCAAATGTTTGCTTAAATGTATTCTTGAACTATGCTACCGACACCATTAGAGGAAGTGTCTGATATTAAACTGAAGCTATATTTGTTTTTGTTTTTTGTTTGTGTGTGTGTGTGTGTGTGTGTGTGTGTGTGTGCGTGCGTGCCTGCCTGCCTGCCTGCCTGCCTGCCTGCCTGCCCCTTCAGGTCAGATTTGGAGTCCTGGCAATTGCCTGGCATAGTCCCTTTTTTGGAAAAGTTTTTTTAAAAGCTCTTGGGGCTGAGAGAGACTGACTGGCCCAGTGTCACCCAGTTAGCTTTCTGGCTAGGGTGGACTAGAATTCCACGTTAGTTTAGACTAATTTCTAGCCCAGTGCCTTAACTACTAGACCAAACTGGCTCTCAGTTCAAGTTTGACACTTATTAATTTTTATCTCTTTCAAGTTTAAAATAACTTTCTATAAATTCTTCATCTGGCTGGTTTTTTTAAGTTTATTTCAATTATTCTGTAGGTATGATATGAAGTAATTACTTTATCAAATGTTTACTAAAAGCAATTTAGCTATTTCTGTAATAAAATATTCTTACTTAACCATGAGGCTATATGGTAAAATGTATAAATACATAGTCTGCTTATTAATACACTTTCCACTTTCCATACATAATACAATACATTATTTATTTATGAGTGCAATTCTTGGCTAAAATTATATAATAGCACACAATTAACAGAATAACAAAAAATTACATACTTTGTATCTGATCATAGGAACCTATTTATGAAAACTCAATGCACAGATTCATGCAGTTTCCTTTTTTCTTAAAATCACAAAGAGATATGTGCATTATAAAGACTAGACTTATTACTAAAACATGCAAGACTGATCTAGAGCAACTGCAGACTATTGTGTATAACTCAGTTTGAAACTGATATGATAAAATGTTTATTTCTGCTTTATGTTTTAGATTTAAGTTGGTTTTGTAACATTACCAGTTTTGAGGAGTGGAAGGATGTATAATAACAGAGTATTCACCTGCATTAAAATATGAAATCAAAACATTTCTCAAACTTCACTGGGTCTATTCATAAACTCATCTCATATTCTGCCATTCATTGTACTAGCCTTCTTCAACACAGCACCCTACATATAAATTACAACTTCCTGCATTTATAAATGGAACATAAAATCCTGGAATTCTGAGAGCTTCAATTCAATGTCTTTGAAAATTGCCAGAATTGGAAAGGTTGCATAGTATCAAAGACTCAACCTACCATTTGTTATATTTACAGTTAAGGAAACCATTGAAGATATCACTCAAAGAACCAACATGGTGCAGGTTGTCAAGAATTATTACCACAGGAAGATCAGAACTACTATTATCAGCATTGCACTGTTCAGCCAAATTAACAAGATATTGTTGAACATCCTTCAAAAAAAGAGAGAAGAATATAATAAGACAGGTGTATTTTCTATTGCCAACTTCACATTTATGTATCATTGTTAAAACTATGTGACATGAAAACAGTTTTGCCTAAGCATCTTCTTTATCCAAAACTTATATTTACAATACATTGTTAAATGCATACAATAGGTTGTACTAATCTGATTCCCCCACTTTCACAAATCCAGTAAAATATTTAGGAGTTTTTATTTGATTTTATTCAAATGCAGGAAGGCTATTTCATATAATCAGCAAATCCTGATCATGAAGTTTTCTTAATGGATAGAAGAACCTATGTACCTAAGCTGCATATTTATACCATTCTTTTAGGAATTCTAATAGCTAATAGACCTTATCTATCTATCTATCTATCTATCTATCTATCTATCTATCTATCTAT